GTTTTTTTGCACTTTAGTCCTTCTTTACGGCCCTTGTGCTTCGCAATGAAACTTTTTCAGGGCACTTCGGGCCAGGCAGTGGACCAAAAGTTTTGACTTGCAGCGTGCCGCTGCACAGGGCCAATTCCCAAGTTCAAGTCTAGCACCCAGATGGGTGAGGGACTGATCCGGATGAGTTACCCGAAACTTGGTTAGGTCAGGCGTCAGGTGATGACGATTCGTAGACATCCCTTTCCCCTTGAGGGGAGACAAGCTCGGAAGCCTTGATTGGGGTCATCATCCTACTTGTATGTCGGGCCGGGGCTAAGAGGACCAGCTGCGGCCAGCTGGGAATTGGGATCCGCTTTTGGATGTGGCTATAGCGGAAAGGGGCCTGTGACCCGAGTTATGACAGTCAGGGTATCTCAGCCTGACGTGACCGATTGCACCATCAAGCAGGGATGTTAGTGCCTGACTTGCCCTTCTTTTGGTGGAATTCGGAGGTTTTCATGTGTAATTTGCATTCTGTCTAACACACAGCGTGCGCAAGGGCAACCAGAGGTAGCTAATCATCAAGAGGAAATCGTCAGGGAAGTGCTGACTGCACTTTCAGTTTTCGCATGATGGTTGCGGTTGCTTTGTGGCTCAGTCGGTAGCCGGCCCTTTGCTTGCCTCCGCACCATGCAACTGAAAGTGTACCTGGCGAGCGGAAAGAGCTGCTCCATTGCACTGCCTCCCGAGTCGAGCATTCGTGAGCTGAAGGCTGAGGCGCAGCAGCAGCTCGAGCGCCGCTTTCTGGGGCTCCTGTTCGGAAGTCAGGAGCTGGACCCATCGCTCACTTTGGCTGACGCTGGCCTGCGCGATGGGGACAGTATCACCGCAATCGCGCAGCACGTGAAGCTAGCTTCCACTTCGCAGGCATTCGCGCTTCATGTCGAAGGAGGCTCTGTGGTGACTTGGGGCCCTCTAGCTTTTGGCGGTGACAGCAGTAGGGTGCGAGATCAGTTGCTGCGTGTCCAGAACGTTCGGGCAACTGTCGCTGCCTTTGCTGCCATCCTGGACGACGGCTCCGTGGTGACTTGGGGCAATCAACCCTGGGGCGGTGACAGCCGACAGGTTCGAGAGCAGTTGGTGCAGGTCCAACAGATCCAATCCACGCAGTATTCTTTTGCTGCCATCCTTGCTGACGGCTCTGTGGTGACTTGGGGCGACTCTAGGGGCGGTGACAGCAGCCAGGTGCAAGAGCAGTTGGTGCAGGTCCAGCAGATTCAAGCAACTCAGAGTGCCTTTGCTGCCATCCTGGCCGACGGCTCTGTGGTGACTTGGGGAAGTCATGGTGATGGCGGTGGTAGCAGCCAGGTGCAAGAGCAATTGGTGCAGGTCCAGCAGATTCAAGCAACTCAGGGTGCTTTTGCTGCCATCCTAGCCGACGGCTCTGTGGTGACTTGGGGCGATCCAGGACAGGGCGGGGACAGCAGCCAGGTTCGAGAGCAGTTGGTGCAGGTCCAGCAGATCCAAGCAGCTAGCATTGCTTTTGCTGCCATCCTGGCCGATGGCTGTGTGGTGACTTGGGGCAATCCTGGCGGTGGCGGTGACAGCAGCCAGGTGCAAGAGCAGTTGGTGCAGGTCCAGCAGATTCAAGCAACTGCGCTTGCTTTTGCTGCCATCCTGGCCGACGGCTCCGTGGTGACTTGGGGCAATCAAACCTGTGGCGGTGATAGCAGCCAGGTTCGAGAGAAGTTGGTGCAGGTCCAGCAGATTGAAGCAACTCGGAGTGCTTTTGCTGCCATTTTGGCCAACGGCTCTGTGGTGACTTGGGGCAATCCTGGCGCTGGCGGTGACAGCAGCCAGGTGCGAGAGCAGTTGATGCAGGTCCAGCAGATTCAAGCAACTCACAGTGCTTTTGCTGCCATCCTGGCCGATGGCTTTGTGGTGACCTGGGGCAATCGAGACTGTGGTGGTGACTGCAGCCAAGTGCGAGAGCAGTTGGATACTTATTAGCTTAGCTGTTTGTCAGCCCCGTAAAGCGAGACGGGCCAAACCTGAAGCGAAAGTGGCTACACACAGCTCTTTCTTGAATAAGTGAGAAATCAATGAAACACACACCGGCACAGACCCCAGATAGCATACCAAGGCTACGAACCAGGACGCAGCGCCGCAATGGTTCCAGCACATCATGAGGATGTTGACAGCAGCATTCCGCTGATACAACAGCGCTACAGCTAAAGCTGGTTGTCCTGATGAGTTCAACAGCATCAGAATGACGCCGACAGCATCCTAATGATGTCGACAGCATCATGATGACGCGGACCGCACCGTCACCAGCGCCTCAAGCAACACCCCGAACAACACCCCAAGACAGCACCCGGACCAGTACCCCAAACTGCATGCCCCTACTAGCACCTTGCCGTCGAGCTCGACAAAATGCGCCCGCGCCGTCACCAGCACCTCAGACAGCATCCCGAAACAGCACCCCAAAACAGCACCTGCGCCAGCACCCCAAACTGCATGCCCCCCCCAGCACCCACCGTCAGACGTCAATCTCGCAAGAATGCACCCACACTGTCAGCAGCACCTCAGACAGCACCTGCTCCAACCCCTATAGCTTTTAGCTATCTTGGGAATGCATGAAAAGAAGTAATGAAATGAAGGAAATGAAAGGAAAGGAAAGGACATGAAAGGAAACTATGTGAAGTGGAATGGAATGGAATGGACTGGACTGGACTGGACTGGACTGGAATGGAATGGAATGGAATGCATGAATGAATGAATGAATGAATGAATGAATGAATGAATGAATGAATGAATGAAATGAAATGAAATGAAATGAAATGAAATGAAATGAAATGAAATGAAATGAACGAAATTAATGAAATGAATGACATGAATGAAATCAAATGACCTGATGAATGAATGAATGAATGAATGAATGAATGAATGAATGAATGAATGAATGAATGAATGAATGAATGAATGAATGAATGAATGAATGCATGAATGAATTAATGTTTAATTAATTAATTAATTAATTTATTGAAATGAATGAAATGAATGAACTGAATGAATGATGAATGAATGATGAATGAATGAATGAAAATGAATGAAATGAAATGAAATGAATGAAATGAATGAATGAATGAATGAATGAATGAAATGAAATGATGAAATGAAATGAAATGAAATGAATGAAATGAAATGACATGAAATGAAATGAAATGAAATGAAATGAAATGAAATGAATGAATGAATGAATGAATGAATGCATGAATGAATGAATGAATGAATGAATGAATGAATGAATGAATGAATGAATGAATGAATGAATGAATGAATGAATGAATGAATGAATGAATGAATGAATGAATGAATGAATGAATGAATGAATGAATGAATGAATGAATGAATGAATGAATGAATGAATGAATGAATGAATGAATGAATGAATGAAATGATGAATGAATGAATGAATGAATGAATGAATGAATGAATGAATGAATGACATGAATGAATGAATGAATGAATGAATGAATGAATGAATGAATGAATGAATGAATGAATGAATGAATGAATGAATGAATGAATGAATGAATGAATGAATGAATGAATGAATGAATGAATTAATGAATGAATGAATGAATGAATGAATGAATGAATGAATGAATGAATGAATGAATGAATGAATGCATGAATGAATTAATGTTTAATTAATTAATTAATTAATTCATTTATTGAAATGAACGAAATGAATGAACTTAATGAAATGAATGAAATGAATGAAATGAATGAATTGAATGAATTGAATGAACTGAATGAAATGAATGAAATGAATGAAATGAATGAAATGAATGAAATTAATGAAATTAATGAAATGAATGACATGAATGAAATTGAAATGACATGAAATGAAATGAAATGAAATGAAATGAAATGACATGAAATGACATGACATGACATGAAATGAAATGAAATGAATGAATGAATGAATGAATGAATGAATGAATGAATGAATGAAATAAATGAAATGAATGAAATTAGTGAAACTAATGAAATTACTGAAATGAATGAATGAATGAATGAATGAATGAATGGATGAATGAAATGAAATGAAATGAAATGAAATGAAATGAAATGACATGAAATGACATGAAATGAAATGAAATGAACTGAAATGAACTGAAATGAATGAATGAATCAATGCGTCGACCTATCCTCCTGCACGGAAGTCTGACAACCTGCGAGGAAATGACTGACTGAAGTTCATATGTACAGAAAGAAAATAGATACACATATGCATGAAGAATTGCACACATGATAATTAAGTAGGCCATTAACTGATTAGCTGAAATGATTACCTAGACAAATCGAGAAATAAGAAAGTAGAATTGAACGCTTCGAGGTACAGCAGAAGGCAGCAGCTGGAAACATAGGTAGACGCAAATTGACTAGGACCTGGGCGCGGTAACAACCTTCTTCTCTCAAAGCCGAAGCTTCAAATACGGGGGTATTCCACCCGAATAAGTCGAAAACAATGCCTTACCCATACATGCTATGGTTCTAAAGGGCCCCGCAACCCCACCTATCGCAAAAGGGGCAGGCGTACTTGTGTATTAATGTGTATTAGGTGTAAACAAAGCATCACACACACGCACATATACATATACAAATATACATATATATATATATATGTATTTATTTGCATGTGCATAAATGCATCCATACACATACTTCTCGCGCGCAACAAACGAAAACTCAGGCTGCCAATCCCTCCACCAAAACTGCAAGCTGACAGGATGGTTAGATAACTGCTGGCCTGTCGGAGTTAAAACGGCCTGGGATGACCAACTGCCCTTGTTTTGGGCGCCACGTTCAAAACACCTTTTGGTCGGCATCAGGGGTGTCATGATCTGCAAATTTTGAGGCAAGTGAATTGCAGCAGTCTCACCGCAGATGGCCACCCTTACAGCAGGTTCGATGGCAAATGTGGGCTGACCTCACCGCAGGGGGGGCTTGTGCTTGGGCAGGTTGTCCGCTTCCTCCTGAATTTGCAGTGCCCCACGGTGCCTGGGCGGCAGATACGCGCCCACTTCGAAAAGACCCACCAGGCCATGGGGTTCCATTTCTTTCCATCACAAAACGGCTGCGGTCACAAGAAGGGCATGGACAGCCCGCCCGGAGCTGGCCCGCTGAATCCCGTGATCCAAGTGGATGGCGGAGGCCAAGCATGTTGCCTTTTGGGTGTCAACAAATCGGATACGAGCTGTTAGCCAGTCATCTTGCTGAATGCAGGCCAGGCTTCAGTTCTGTTGCTGGTATGTGGCGGCTTTTCTAAAGAATTGGTGCACAGCATGGGTGTTTTCAAGAATTCGTGCTGGCCTGCAACTGGGGGTGGTTGGCTTAATTCAATGTGAGGGTGCCCTTCGGGTAAAGCCAGGAAGACGGGCCGAAGCCCGCAGCCCAGGTGCAGGCGAGGAGGAAAGTCCTGGAGCCGCGACCCCAAGACCGAGGGCCAGGAATGCCCTGGTTGCTGGTGACACAAATCCCCACCGAAATGATGTCCACCTGAGTGTCCCAATTAGAATTGATTCATACCCCCGTGAGTTCCTTCCAGAGGAGATTTGCCTTGCGCACCCCGCACCACTTAAAGGGGCAGGGTACTTATTAAGTGGTTATTAACCCACTTTTCATGGTTATAAGTCTCCTAAGCCCTGCCCCTGTAAATGTTGGTGGGAGGAAGGCCCAGGACAGAAGATGCCACGGCAATGGGCGTCTTTATCTGGCGAGTGGGGGTTCGGACGTGAGGGTATTCTCACTTTGGGCGGGCCCAGACGTCTGATTTGCGTGTGCTCTCCCCCCAAGAAGCCAAGAAGGACTGCCCCGGGGGTGATGTTCTCCAAGCCCCAGGAAACGTCTGGGTTCAAGGCTCCCAAACAAGGACAGCACTTGCATCTCTTTGAGCAAGCCGCAGCTTAGTGCCATTCCGAGCGAGATGAGCTTTTCTGGATGTTCCTTATAGCTATCCACATCTTTTTCCATGTCTTGCTCCTGGCCGGCGAAGCCACAAGGGTCGTCCTCGCAGGGCATGGCATTGTCTGCTGGCCGGGGTGCACGTGGCAGGTGCTTTCTGAGCTGGATCAAGTTCACCAATCTGCAGGCCGCGGCTCGACTGGTTTCGCCGGTGTCGCTGCGAGTCGTGCGTCTGGGAAAGCCAGCTTCGGGCGCCGTTTTCCAGTTGAGCTGGGCCATGTCATTTTTCCCCATCGAAACTTGCAATGTCGCAGGCCTCCGACATTGCGCAGAACCCCCTCCTCCCCGAGTGTTTCAAGCATGTGGCCGGGGCCTCGGCGCAGAAGGGAGGGCGGGTGGTTCGCCCTCGATTTGGTGTGCGCCTTTCCCCAGAATGGCCCCCCGGCCCGGAGTGGGGCTCAAGTGAGGTCGTTTACAGCCGGGCACGCAACGGCGGCACCGCGCAACGGGTCCAAACACGGGCCAGCGAAAATTCGAGAACCCCACAACTGGCCCCCTGATCTTGCTGGCTCTCAGGGAATGAGGGACTGTCCCTACCTTGTGTCCTTTGAGGGGGTCCCCAGGTTCATTCCACAACCCCGTGGCTTTCGAGTACAGGTGGAGGCCGGCGATCTCAGCGAGACCGCCACGGACATCATCGTGGAGGCCGGACTTGGAAATTGGACCCCTGGTGGTTGGTGTTATACGGGAAGCTAACAGGAAGCGAGGCGTTTTGGGTTTGATGCCCATTTTGAGAACCAGCTAAAACGGCACCCTTACCGTTTTAGGGCTTGATTTTTTGGTTTTCTCTCTCTCCTGTTTGCCGTTTCCATGATCCCCCCAACAGAAAAGGGTCATCTTTTCTCTCGGCTCAAAGTTCAGTGCGGTTGTTTGTTCGTATTTAGTGTTGTGCCTTGACGTCGGCGTTGCCACCCAAAAGGGATGAGATAGGCGCAGAGTAAGGCTTTCTGCCATCTTGCACGCTTTGTGGCCTAGGGGCACAAGCTTCCCACTTGTGCAACGATCACTTCGTGCCCGTGACTTCCGTTGAGTGCAGGTCCTGCGCATGTGCAGCATGGACATCACGCAGTACCAGCCGGTGATCCAGGCGCGAAGCGAAATGTCAGCGGCCAGGTCATGCCCCCCGGACTTCCGAACGTGTCATTCGTGCATCGCAAATGCCACCAGTTCATAAATGATTCCCAGTATTCACAGGGTCTCATGCTTTCCAAGTGGGCATGGATTTTGTCCATCCGCATAGTGGGCCCTGTGTCCCAGGGATTGGGGGGGGGGTTCCCCAGCCCAGTTTGGATGAGTTCCAGGTGATCCTGGGCCAGCTGAATGGCCTGAGGCCGGCATCGTGCCGCCCTTCTTTTTCGGGGCTCAGGACCCCAACCTGGGAAAGACGCCAAAGTGGCTGTGGCTCAAGAAACCGGAATTCCACAATGGGTTGCCCTTGGAAACGTGGAAACGTGGACCAAAACCTGCGGTTTGCCCCTCCTGTTTAATTATGAGCCACACCCATGTGCCTTTGGATGTGTCTATCTTGGGCTTTGGGGGGGGCTTTGGGTGTATAGGTAGATTGGAATTGCGCAATGTCGTGCATTGGGGGCGCACCTCAAGGGCATGCACATGATACCCTCGAAGAGCGATGTCAGCTTGCTTGGCTCGCTTGGCTCGCCTTTCACACAAAGAGGCGCATTTGAGTGATGAGCACTTTTGTGTGTGTGAAGTGAACAATGTCAGATAGTAGGACCTCATACCCATACTTCCTCAAGACAAAAACTCGGACCCCTGCCAAGAACCCGTGAACCCTTCAAAGAAGACCTTTCCCGGGGGAGTTAGAGGCTTTTTCGTTTCCCTGACTTGGGCTCCTCAGGTTTCCCCTTTGTCGGCACAGAGCTCTCGGTTGCTAGCCTTCTCATTCTCCTTCCGAACTTTAGGTTGCTGTTGGAGAAGCGGAAGGTGCGTTCAATGAGCCTTAAACACTACGAAGCCATGCCGTAGAAGTTGTAAGGAAGATGGCTTTGAAGCACGTCGAATCTGAGAATTTCCTTTTCCAACATATGCCAAGGAGGTGTATGATTCTTGGCAGTCGCTAACATAAGGGTTTCACTCTCCAGATTTTGCAACTGTTCACTACTTCCTACTTTGGAAACGGAGGTGGCAGCTTGATGCCTGAGCGAACTACATGTCAAAAAAAGAAGGGGCCGATGCCATCAAACCGTAGAAGCTGTTGTGTCTTTTTTGCCCTCTGGCTGCGGCCTTGTGTTTTTTTCTTCAGCGTGTGCATCAAGAGTCAACCCAGCCCGGCATGGCCATGCGCACGCGGGCCTTTTTGCATGGTGTTTCCGTCTGACATTGCCACCAACACACCAGATTTGTTTTCCCCCAGCAGTTTCAGAAGGGTCGTTTCCCAGTAGCTTGCCCAGTTCACAAAACACCCGGCTTTTTCCAGTGGCTTTTGGATCCAAACTCTAATTGACGCGAGGTCCAAGTTCGAGGCGCAGCTGAGCCGTGGGGTGGAGGCGGCATTGGACGGCGACCAGGCGCGTTGGGTCTCTTGGGCGCCTGAAAACAGATGTTGAGACAGACAGCTGGCTGGGACCTCCCAAGCTATCAAACGAGTATTTGAAGCCGCTGAAAAGAGAGTTGAAAGGGTGACCACCTTGCCTGCACCTTTGATGGGGTAGTATGCGCGGGGGACTCTTTTTTTGGGGGGGGTGAGAAGTGAAACCAAAAGGGCCTCCTTTGTTGTTTCTGTAGAGGCGAACAATGCACACGCTCAGAAATAGGATCTTCCCCCAAAGCTTTTTTTTCTTTGGCAGGTTAAATGTGACACATAAATGGAACATATTCTTCGTGTGTACCCCAGATGTAGATGTGGGCCAAGAAAACTTTGTTCCCAGGTATTGTGGTGTGTCAATGCATTGCTTCCACTTCTCGGGCGCCAAGCAAGAGTCATCCTTCGCTGAAAGGTCGGACTTCCTTCAAAGTAGCTGGCCAGGGAAATGTTAAACTGGTCGAAGCCGATGGCTTTCCCATAGCTTCCCTTTCTCATGCTATCACGCCGAGATATCACACCAGGACATGGAGCACGAAGGGCGATGTTGGCTGGTCCCAAGGTTGCACTGCTGCGTGGGTCAGGAAGCCGTCGCGCATGGGAGTAGCTTCCACTTTAGACTTCAGTTGGATGATTCGTATAATTTTGGCTGACATCGACAGGTTGGTTGTATGGCAAGCTACTGTATTATGCCGGAATCAACCTGGACAGCCAACCTGTGTGAGTGAAAGACATCGGCTCCAATTAGGTGCAGTGGTTTTTTATCCATGTCAAATACGACGCATGTGCATCATCTCCGTGTGGAACATCAAACGATTCCTGTCATCTTGCGCTTGCGAAAGTCAGAATTGATTTCGCCAGCGGGTTATCCAAAGGGGTGCTCTTCCTTTCTGAGAGGGTTTCAGGCTTTTGATTCCAAGGGCCGGCTAGTCCTTTGGACCTACCCGAAAAACCTTGGGGCTTGTACCCCTTGAAACCTGCTGACAGCTTTAAAGCCGGCGTGTGGTGCTTTTGGTACAACACATCGATCACCCTTGACCCCCGCACCCTCTACCAAGCCAGAATTCGTTGGCCCCTGCCGCGTGATCGGATGTTTGTGTAGATTTTGCGCAATCCAGTGTCTAAAACAGGCGTGCGTGGAGAAGCAAGTGGCCCAAGGCGCGGATGTGCGCCGGGAGCGGGCTTCAGCACTGCGGCGCCCATGGAGCAGTGGCCGCTGCAGGTCCAAGCAGGCATGGTCATCAGGGCCCCGAAGCCGAGGCTGGTGCGGCCGACTAAGATGCGCGCAGCCTCTCTCAGCCCGTTTGCGCCGGCCCTTGCAGCGGCCGCGTGCTGCAAGGCCCGGGTTGCCCGCCCCGCCAAGCGCCGTCAGACGCCCGACGTGAGCCATGTCTCGGCGCTGGGCAAGCTGGGCCGCCGCCCGTCGAAGCAAGCAGTGCAGGGGGTTCTGGAAGCACCCGGCTGGGACACCGTGCCAGTGAAAAACATCATGTCCTTTCTGGAGAAAGGGAGGCTGAAGGATGTTTTGTCCAAGGTGATTGAGGTTCTTCTCGCGGCGCCTTCACGCCGCTTGGATGCCAGAGATTTCACCGTGGCTCTGTCAGTATGTTCAATGCTTCAGGCCTGGCAGGATGCTTGTCTGCTTTTGGCATCCATGCCTGGGGCAAAGGTGGGGGTGTTCAAACAGATTGTTTTTTTAAAGGCAAACCGGCGTCAAATCGTTTCCATGTGGCTGTGCCCTGCAGCCCCTTAACAGGTGAAGGCAAATGTGATCAGCTTCAGCAAAGCCATCAATGCCTGCGCGAGAGGCGGTCAGTGGCAGCGGGTGTTGGCTTTGTTCATGGCGATGCCCGGAGCAAAGGTGCAGCCGGATGTCATCAGCTGCAATGCGACGATCAGCGCTTGCGAGAAAGGCAGGCAGTGGAAGCAGGCATTGGCCATGTTTGGTTTCATGATTGGGACCAAGATGCAAGCTAACGTAGTCAGCTTGAATACGGCTATCAGTGCTTGCGCGAAAGGTGGGCAGTGGCAGCAGGCATTGGCTTTGTTTGTGGTCATGCCTGACATCCAGGTGCAAGCTGATGTTGTCACTTGCAATGCAGCGATCAGTGCTTGTGCCAAGGACGGGCGGTGGCAGCAGGCATTGGCTTTGTTCCGGGCAATGCCTAATGCAAAGGTGACAGCTGACGTTATCAGCTTTAATGCAGCCATTACCGCATGCGAAAAAGACGGGCAGTGGCAGCAGGCGTTGGCTTTGTTCCAGGCAATGCCTGATTCGAAGGTGACAGCTGACGTTATCAGCTTCAATGCAGCCATTAGTGCATGTGAAAAAGACGGGCAGTGGCAACAGGCGTTGGCTTTGTTTGAGGCCATGTCTACAGCAAAGGTGAATGCTAGCGTGATCAGCTTCAACGCGATGATAAGCGCATGCGAGAAAGGCGGCCAGTGGCAACAGGCATCGGCGCTTTTTGGGGCCATGCATGCAGCCGAACTGCAAGCAGATGCGATTACCTTCAATGCAACTATCAGCGCCTATGAGAAGGGTGGGCAGTGGGAGGAAGCGCTAGCCTTGCTCCGGGCGATGTCCGGGGCAAAGGCGCAAGCGAATGTTATCAGCTTCAGTGCAGCCATCAGCGCTTGTGAGAAGGTTGGGCAGTGGCAGCAGGCGATTGCACTCTTGGATGCCATGCCAGCCGCAAAGGTAAACGCCAATCAGATCAGCTATAGCGCGGCAATCAGCTCATGCGAGAAACGTGGGCAGTGGCAGCAGGCCTTGGCCCTGTTTCGTGCCATGGGCTCGGAGGTGCTGCCTGACGTTGTGAGCTTCAACGCGACCATCAGCGCCTGTGAGAAAGGCGCCCGGTGGCAGGAGGCGTTGGCTTTGTTTGGCGCGATGTCGGCCGCCAGCGTGCGCCGCAATATTTACAGCTACAGCGCAACGATCAGTGCCTGTGAGAAATGCGAGGAGTGGCAGCACGCCCTGGCGTTGTTCCGAGCAATGGCTGCAGCAACGGTGCACGCCAATGAGATCAGTTTCAATGCGACCATCAGTGCTTGCGAGAAAGGCAGCCAGTGGCAGCAAGCCTTGGCCCTGTTTTGGGACATGCCCGCAGCAAAGGTGCGAGCCAACGTGGTTAGCTTTAATGCCACCATCATTGCCTGTGAGAAAGTTTGGCAGTGGCAGCAAGCGCTGGCTTTGTTCGGGGCAATGCCGGACGCACAAGTGCAGGCAAGTATGCTCAGCTTTGACCCAACCGTCAGCGCTTGTGAGAAGGGCGGGCAGAGGCAGCAAGCGCTGACTTTGCTCGGCACTGCGCAGCAAAAAGGGATGGACATTCTGGAGGCAACAGCTGCTTAAGTGGACGGCCCCAGGAATGGCATTAACCTCGTTTTCAAATTTTCAAGGGCTTGGCAGCAACCATTCCAGAGAGAAACTGGTTCTGAGCCGGGTGGACTGGACGTGGTCTGACTGTTGGCCTCATCAATCACACGCCTGACCAAACAGCGGACAACATGGCCTTGGCAAAAAGGTTTTTCTTGGTCGAAGGAGGCTACACATGTGAGGGTCATCACGGCAACCGGTTTCTCTTGCCGCTCAGAAACACGGTCTTTTCTCTAATCGTTGCTGCTTAAGCCTAGCGGCGCGTTGAAAAAATGATGGCTGGAGCCACCCCGCATGCAGAAGGGACATGGCCGGTAATGTTGTTGCTCCATGGTGAACAATCCATCCGGTTATGGATGAGGGAGTTGCGGAAGAACCTGAGCACAGACGCACCTGAGCACAGACGCACCTGAACCTGAACCGTTGTATGTGTGTGTGTGTGTAGAAAGTATATAGAAAGAATCTGGGGTCAGTATTAAGATGTTCCTTTAGGGCACGCGATAGGGAATTATGATGAAAGGCAAGGCATGCTGTGTGCTACAGGGTTCAAAACCTCTCAGTAGGCTGCAAGTCAGGTTCTTGATCCAATTCAACACCAGGAAGGTTGCTCATTTGTTGGCACGGGGCTTGAACCCATGGCTCGATTTGGACACTGCCGTGGCGCTTCGATGGCGGGGTTTGTGCAGCGCGGCAGGATGGGCTGCTGCAGATCTGCCGAATCTACGTGTGGGCCTGTGTGACGGATCTCGGGTCAAATGAGCTATCCAAGTTAGGGTGAGGCGGGTTGGTAGACAACGGACTATGCGGACCATTTCCTTTGAGGAAGTCACAGGCATGTTGGAGCAACAGCTTCTTGAATGGCTGATGACTTTTGGATGGGCCAGCGAGGTGCCCTTTGGATGGCCAGGGGGCAAATAGCTAAAGGTGGTTGGCCCAGCTGTGCCCGGTATGAAGCCCGGCAGCCTAAAACACGGATCTCCAGAGATTGCGCAAACGGCCCGATATCTTTCTTTTTCAACAGCGATTCCGGGACCCCATGAAGGTCCTGTTCTTTTTGGGGTGTGTCCTGGATCCCCCATGCTTTCAGACAGGCCATAGGCTTTCCAGCGTCGCGCCGAGTGAGTCGCCGAACTTTTTTCCGGATTCCTGAGAAGGAGCTCACTTTTGCGGGACTGCTATCGTAGGCTCGGTGCTCAGGTGGAAGTGGGCGAATGCCTGGTGCCCCTGGTAATGACCCAGTGCCCTGCGCCTAGTGGGAGAGCAGGCAAACGGGTTGAGGTCGCCTTCATTGGCACCGTGTCAGGCCGTTTCATGTTTTTGTTTTTTTGTTTTTCTGTTTTTCTTTGCCTTTTTCTTTCTTGGGGGGCTCCTTTTGAGGTTTCGTTGTTTGTCTGTCTGTTGTCTGTTTGTTTTTTGCTTGTGGTCCGCGACTTCGCACCAAGGGTTATGAAGTCTTGGAAGTTCTATGGTTGGGTGCAGCAGATCTTCTGTTTTTGTTTGGGGCGGGGGGGTGGGAGGGAAAGCTGGGGTCAGGATAAGTTTAGGGTTATTTGCTTGGGATTGGCTTTAGGCGGCTTCAGAGGGTGAGTTGAATGTCCAGAATGGCTTAAGGGCATCACTAGGTCTCTTTGGGTTCGCCTCGGCCTTTGGGCGAGCTCAGGGTGGGCTATTTGATGAAGGATTGATTTGAGATGGGCCTGTCTCAACATGTGCGACCCTCTTGGCGGGACGTCAAAAGGAAACCACCCATGGACAATGTTTGGGGACCACTATGTTGCGACCGCCCCAGATGGACTTGCAACTGGTTTCAAGTGAGAGGCTTTGCGACTGGGTCACGGCCCGACCGCACTACCCAAGACGGAACCAAAGCGGAAAAAACCCTGCTGGAGCATCTTTCCCTGACAGAGCAAAGCATAGGGCCAGATCGGGAAACGTCCCAAACCGTCCATTTATCATGGAGCTGGAAGAGAAGAAGCAAGGCATAAACAACCTAGTCGGAAGCAACCGAACCCCAGGCCGCTAAGCGAACCCTGACAAAGCAGGCGAAGAACTCGTCGGAGTGTAACGGTTTGGCGGCAATTCGCACACCCCTTCCAAGCGCCATACCAACATGTTGAATGCGTCAGGCGCTTCCGGTGGTTGGCCTGTCAACTTCACGTGTCGTCAAATAAACAACTGCCACGAAGGCAGACAAAGAAAGGTAGCTGAATGCAGTTTTGGGGCCCGGATGTGCAAGGTGTAACGGGCTTTGCTAACTGTCTTGCTGTCAACCGTACGTGCTTGGTCGAAATGCAACCCTTCGAAATCCGCACCTCCAAGCTATCAAGATGGGGACTTATGACCACTCGGAGCTCGCGCAAGATAGCCCATCCCACACCGTGACAGGTGTTCATGCCATCCCATCCCTTTTCTGGGAGCCCTTCGGCCGGTGAGTATGCTCGTGTGGCTCAAGCTTGGCCCACCCGGGAACCAGCGTGAAACCTGAAACGACATCCTTCTGTAGGTGAAGCGCATTTTCAGGGAAGTAGTTTGGTTGGGGCCGCCTGTGACTTCACCCCCCTCCCCCGCCTTTCCCACATTGCTGGGGACACGCTGAAGGCACCGACCCGCAGATCGTCAACATCCTGGAGGCGGAGATGGGAGGAGTTCATAGGGGCGCTGGGCATCGGTTCTCCGGCTCCCTGTCAGCCTGGGCATCGGTTCTCCAAGGAGTTCCACCATGGCTTGAACTCAGACAGGTGAGGTAAGAAGACCCACGCACGCGGCCTCTTTTGAGCTGGAAGGAATGGACATCCCGCTTACCTCCCGCAATGCGTAGGGGCAAAAGACTTGCGACCCTGGAATGCTGTGCCCAAATGTGGTTGAGTTGAAGTCCTGAGGAAGCAAGTGCAGGTACAGACGGGCTTTGCGCTATGTGCCATAGAGCCAAGCAAACAGCTACTGTATCCTTATGCCAATTTGTCGCATTTGCCGGATGAATTGGCTTGCATGTGGGTCACAATTTCACCTGCCGGTTTACCCACATGCCCAACCTATGCCCACCCACCTAGCCCATCAATCCGCGAAGCCGCTGAAGAATGGGTAGTCATAGTGGCAGACGTTTTAATTTAACGGCGATTGGAACCGATCACTGGCTGTTGGTGACTCTTGGTGACTGTTCTCGAGGCGGTTGTCGACGGTCAAGTTTGCCCCCGCAGAGGAGAAAGAATCGCATTGCCAATGAATGGGAGAACCACTGATTCGCGAAGTGGTGTCCGAACGAAGGCTAATTGCTTTTCCTCTGACAGACCTGAGTGGGAGAGTCTAAAAATAGGTCCCTTTTGGTTTCTCTTCACAACCACGCCAGAACTGGATTTTCCCCTTTGGTCTCCCATGAAGCGACCCCAAGAAGGTTTCGACTCAAGAAAGGCACACCTCCAAAGGTCCTGGGCGTGCGGAAGCGAAACAGGTGATCTTGCGATGCACAGACTTGCCCCATGAGGATGGGTACCGCTGCGTCCTCGGGGTAGGTCTGGGCTTAATATTGCTGTGCAGTTTGGGGTGTGTTTCTTGGTATTTTGTTACGTTGTGGATTTGGCGTTGTGTTTCTTCCTTTTGCTTTCTTGCACTGTTGCGGTCAGGGGTCCGATAATTTTGTGCGACGTGCAGTCAAGAAAGATGAAGAGGATGCGTGTCAATTGAACGCCACCTTCGGGCTGTTGAAGGATTCCAATCTGCTTAAACCGAAAGCTCACCGAAGGCGAACATGCCGGTGAAGATTAGAACAGTATCAAACATAACCAGCTGTTGGGTTTTAACGGTAGCTTGGGCTTGGGTTAAGGCTTTAGGTCCTAGGTGTTGCTTCTCCATTTAAGCACAACTTTAAGCATCAGCGGGACGTGGGCCAAAACAAACACGCAGAGGAAGACGAATCTAAAGTCAACATGAATCTGGTTTGGGGTTTCAATTGCTCTTTCGGGCTTCGAACGTTTTGGGTTTCGGGCTTTCAGATGTTGGGAGCTTTCAGGGTTTAATATTTTTTGTATTACTTTTTTGGACTCGAGGGGGTTGTCAGGTTGTAGGGTCCGGGGTTTCAGGGTGTCAAATGTTTGTGGAGGTTGCTTCTGCCATGTTGAACGTCAGCCGGAATTCGTGTGTCTGGGACTTTGAGCGCCATTTTAGGGTTTTGGCAAGCGCCGGGTAAGCCGGATTTTGAATGTGCTGTACGGGCGTGCTTCTGTTGAGAATCCCTTCTTGCCGCAACCATTTTGCAACACCATGATGCATCCAACAGATCTGGCTTGGTTCTGCATCCGCATTTTCAATTTTGCAGGTGGCCAAAAGTAGGGGAAAGCAACAAGATGTATATTGTACGTCCTGTGTTCTTGAAAGCAGCTGGCGTTGTGGTGTTTTTCAGCTGGCTGCACTCCCAGGAGTAGTTTTCAATGAGCCTTGCTAAAGGCAGCTGTCCATACAGGGCTCGAATCGAAGGGATGCTGGAGAGGCGTTCCCTTTTTTTTTCCAGCGGCACCTTGGTGGCACAGTGGTGGCGTCAGAACCCACCAAAACGGCCCAGCCACAACGCGGCGAATCTGAAAGTCGGCACGCCTGACCACACTTTTTAATGGGAACACCCTCAAGTTTGGTTGGCGGACAAGACATCCCCACATGCACACACACACAGAAGCACACAGGTGCTGTCGGTTCCCATTGGAAAAGCCAAGCTTGCCTCTACAACGCGCATGCCTGTTGGGCCCTCGGCTTGGTACCTTAGGGTGTCACCAGGCTGTTAGATGGTAGGTATAAGCAACCTACAGGAAGTTCTGCAGGAACCACTTGGTTTATTGCAAGTGCTCCGGTTCGCAGGAGATCAGCTCGATCCCTCTGGAGTTCTGGCATCGCCTCGCCAACGAGATCTGTCGGCACCTGGGCCACATGTGCCGTCTGGGGGTGGTGGACGGTTGCTTGTTCTTGTCGCATTCCTTGCGCGCGGCACGAGGAATGGGCAAGGACGTAGGGGAAGGCACGGGGTGTAGGAATTTGACGTGTCCACCCTCTGCATGGG